CAGGTATGAATGAGGAGTCAAGCCCTTTGGACATCAGTCTTCCCCTCTGCCTTAGACTTTTTGATGACTCCCTTGGTGATGATAGAGGGGACATCTAAAACATTCATAACTTCATTCTCTTCATAAGGCTCTTTCCAAGGATCAACCACCAATGTTTCTCCCATGATAACACTAATGCAAGAGATAGGTTTGGGAGCTCTTCTAGTGGGAATGGCTTTGTAGAAGATCTTCTTGTCAATGTTAGAGAATGAGATTCTCTTACTAGGCATGTCTATAATTGCACCCACTGTGGCCATGAATGGTCTTCCAAGGATTAAAGGTATTTCTGATCCTTCGATCATCTCCACAACCTGAAAATCAGTAGGAACCAGACCATCTCCAACTTTAACAAGCAAATCAGGGATAGTACCATATAGAGTTGTGGTAGAAGAATTCGCGAATGCAAGAGTCATCTGAAGGTGTCTTATACATGTATCAACAATTTCCAACCTCTCTGCAACAGCCTTTGACATTAAATTCACACTAGACCCAGAATCAACAAGAGATTCTTTGAACTTAACTCCAAAGATGGAGCATGGAACAGCAAACTTTCCAGGGTCTTCAATCTTACTCAAATTTTTCATTGGTGGTGGTGTATTTCTTGCCCTGATAAAGAGTGCATTAATCTCTTCTAGAGTTTCTCTGCAATTTTCGAAGAAATCATACAAAGGCCTGTTTTCCCATGCTTCTTCAAATGACATCTCATGGGGAATTCTCCTCACCATCTTCTCAAAATCACTCAGCTTCTCTGCAGTAATGGAATTCCTGAGATGTTTGGGGGTTTAGGATATGGGACCTTAGAAACATATACTCGTGGCCTGATAGGATTGCACTCTTTTTCTACCACAACATCATGTGCCCCTTTCCCATCTATCAACTCAGGTGCAGTCACCAGCTTATCGTAAACTATTACAGCATTGCAATGCTCTCTTGGATTTATCTCTGGCTTTCTAAGAAGATTTCCAGGTTGCCACCTAATAGCATCTGCAATCTGTGCTACCTGCGTGTCAAGCTTCTTCACATGAGTAGCAAGAGACTCATACTTGTTATCGATGTTCTCAATTTTGTTACTGAGATCACGATACATCCCATCTACCTTAACATGGATCTCCTTTGCAGTCGTCTGCTGATTAATCATGACTTGCTGCATCATCACTTCAAGTCTAGAATCTTGTGTAGCTAGATTAGAGTCGTTCTGATTCTGAAAGTTGTGCTGTCCCTGATTCTGCATGTTTGTCTGGCCCTGAAATCCCTTAGAGAAAATGCTGACACCTTGGTTTTGCAAGAATGGTTTCTGATGAAATTGCAGACCCTGATTTTGCACACCTGCTTGTTGTGGGTAGACTTGATCTTGAGGATTTTCAACACTGGGACTTCTGTAGGACAGGTTGGGATGATTTCTGTAATTCTGGTTGAATCCTCTGTTGAAATATCCTTGGTTCTGCACGTAGTTTACCTCAGCATGATGTCTTTCTGAATCATCTTCAGTAAATTCCTGATACAACCTCTCATCGCCAGCATTGTCACAAAAGTTGACAGCCTTTTGATTTCCCTTCAGTAACAAGGCTATGCTGTTGACTTGGTTAGTCAGCTCGTCTATCTTCCTAGACTCAATGCTATTGATGCGTCTCGATCTGTCATACTCAGGATTGCGCTGGCTGGAACTAACAGAGAGATTCTCAATAAGCTCATATGCCTCCTCTTTAGTCTTTGTCATGAAATTACCATTGCTGGCAGCATTCAGACAATTCTTTGCTTCCCAGTCTACTCCATCATAAAAAATGTTCAGCACCTGCTCATCTGAGTAACCATGATGAGGACATTCTCTGAGATACTCTCTGAATCTCTCCCAAGCTTCATTGAAAGACTCACTACCATTCTGTTGAAATTGAGTGATCTTAATCCTGAGTGATGCTGTCTTAGCCTTGGTGTAGAACTGATCCAAGAAAGATGACCTGATTGCTTCCCAAGAAGTCAAAGAACCAGGTTCAAGTGATTTCAGCCATCTAGCTGCTCGATCAGCCAAAGAGAAAGAGAAGAGTTTGCACTTCAGATAGTCTGCAGGGACTCCATTTGAGCTTGTGGTACTGCAAATCTCTTCAAATCTCTCAATGTGATCCATGGGATTTTCTGAAGCCTTCTCATAGAACTGTTGCCTTTCCACAAGAGCGATGATTTGAGGTTTGATCTCAAAGTTCTATCTCTGAATAGGTGGTGGACGAATTTGTGACCTATTCTGATAGAATTGGTGAGGAGAATTAATTGCCCCAATAGGTATGCGCTGAGGCTGCCTCTGGTTCCTATGGAATTGTGCCTGTCTGTTGACATTATTCCCAAGTTGCACATGTCCAGCTGCAGCTGCTGCGGCTTGCCTCTGAGCCTCAGCTTGTCTCTGAACTTCAGTTTGCCTCTGAGCTTCAGCTGCAGCTCGTGCTGCAGGATCATCAACAGCATTTGGATCAATGAGATCATCACGAACAGGAGGAGGAGGGTTTCTGGGGTTCCCATCATTATCGAACAGGCCCTGGAGATTCAGATCATCTTGATTTTGAGCCATGTTTCTACTTCTTCGTCTGTTCTCACGTTCTAGTTGTGCTAGCTCCTTGTTGTTCAAATCTAACAGATTTTCAGAACCGTGGTTTCAGGTCATAAACCTGAAACACACAAGAAAACAAAAATAAAACAAATTAGCAAAAGAAAAAGAAAAACTTAGTCTGAACTTTCGTCCAAGACTCGTAGGCACTCAATTGGTCCCCGGCAACGGCGCCAATTCTTGAAACACTTCAGGAATAATCCTAAAATCTACTGCAAGATCACAGCAATCGAAATAGTATTTTAGGTATTGAAATCCACAAGGACCAAGTATATGCTACGAGAATGCAGAAAGAAAGTAAAGCTAAGCCTAATGATAGGTTGTTTTGTAGTTTAAGACTTCTAGAAACTAAGAAAAACAAAGTAATGAGATGTAAATTCAAATGAGAAAAGCGCTAGGTTTCCAGGTAATTCGCAGGAAATCAAGACTCACTAAACAGATTATCGAATAGAGAATGAATTAAGAACCGTTCTTGAACTTAAACATAAGCATCTAGCTAACCCACTGTCGTGGCACTAGCTACTATGTCTAATAACCTAAGTATCTAAACTGTCGTTTGACCTTAGAGTTCTAGACATGCATTAAAGTTCTGGTTTGATAAGTTCACAAATCACCTTAGCATCAGCTTTCGTTTGCTAAGGATGATTTGCTCATCTAAGTTCTGTCAGGAAACCTAAATCACTTTCGTGTTTAGATTAATCCTAAGATCATAAACTAAGTGATCAATCTAGTCTAAGCCTTAAACTCAAAAATAGATGAAGAACTCTATGTGATTCCCTAATCTAACAAATTCAATTTAGTGATTCATGAAATTCCCTTGAAACCCTAAAAACCTAACTGGAGAACTACTCAGACATAGAGGCAGATGAAACACAGAAAGATGGAGAAGAATTCATGATCAGTAAAATAGAAATCCAAAAGGGTTCAGAAATCTTCTCAGAGATGTAGAGTCAGAAATTCGTCTTCTTAATCTTACAAATTGCCAAAAGCTCAAAAAATCTGAATAGAATAGAAAGTGTGTTCAGAAAAGTGATAAAAATAGGTTTAAATAGGTCTGCAGTCGTTCAGGGCCGAAATCAGAAGAATTTGGAAACAGGAAAAATCGAAATTTCTTTCTTCTCTGGGAGGTGGAACGATCGTGCTGAAATATATGGAACGATCGTTCCAGCCTTGATCGATCGTGCCATACAGAATTGGTCGTGCTGGAAAATGTTCGCAATTTTTGGCCGGATCGTTCCAATCTTTTTTTTTGCACTTTTCATCGTTTTTACTCCTAAGTCTCCAAACTCCGTCCTGAAACGTTTTCTGACCTGAAATGACTCTAAAAAGACTAAAAGACTCAAAAAACACTCGAAAAATCAGGTTAGAATGCGTTAAAAACGCAACACATCAGAACCTGCAACAAAAATTAGCAATTATTTATATGACATGTCCAAGTTTATTACTAGATGACATGTTGTGACCAAATGTTCTGAAAACTCGGAACATGATGGAGATTGTGTACAAGTCATTCTCATTCGTGATCAAATCATCTATCTTCTGGAAAGCAAGTTTCAATATTTGTTCAATCTGATCCTCGAAATGATAGGCCAGACCAAGACTGGCTAAACAATGGATTAGAAGAATTTTTCATCTTTGTCGCCTCGTCATCATCTTGGGAATACAAGTATACAAAATATGCTAATAGTTTATTATACAAGTCATAGATCTTTGGACATGCATATTTATGTATGCACATATATATATATATATATATATGCTCTAATAGTTGATAAATATCATTGTAATATCTGGACTCACCAAGTCAGAGATGGTCACAGTGAGGAAGTGATCACTCCACTGAGAGGGTGGCAATTTTGTTAAATCAAAACCAATTTTAAGATACCCTGTTTTCTTCCTGCTTCCATATATATACTCAAGAATGAGAGAAAGAAATGTTGTGAGGGGAAATCAAGAAGGATTGTAATATATAGAGATGCAAATAACTTAATCAATTAATATTAGTGGTGACAACTAACCTATCAATTAATATCAGTGATTACCGTCTGTAGTTTATGTAAAAAAATTCAAAAAAAAAAATTGATAAAAATTTGAAAGTGTGTATATAAAAATTTTAACTATTTTTTTTGTTTTAACTGAGTCTAGATTAAAATCCATAAAAAAAAAATATTTCTTCTATAAATCATCGATTAAAACCGCCTAATGATACGTATATCTTTTTAATTTTAGATTTTTACCCAAGTTTTTTTTAATTTTCAACAACAACCTATAATTTAACACTATAACATGTGTAAGTTCTCTACAGTACAACTTAAGCGCTTAAAATAAGTGTTCGGAAACATTTGTAGTTCCAAGCAGAAGCCTAAAACCTTGTTTTTATATCATTTGGAACTAATTTTATTGGAATCCTTTTAGGTTAATATAACCAGTTCAAGCAATACTATTTCAAACTAAAACCAAACGAGTCTTCAAGCAAACTCTTAACTATATATGTATGGGATCTACAAGCAAAGTGGTGAGATATTCCTTGAGTTTTCCTTCGCGGTGATTGTAGACATCATCAGACGTATATAGAATATTCACCATGCGACCAAAATTGACGACCTGCATAAGAACAGGACGTGAAATGTTGGTAGTCTGTAAGCACTCTTCGTTTACAACCTTTTCGATATCTTCAATCATCTTATGAAATTCTCTAATGGCTTCTTCTTTCGTGACTCCATGTTGTTTCATGTAATAGTTAAGCGCGTTTGCAGTGTACCCTTTATTCATATCCTCCTGGTCATACCATAAGTCAGTAATTAGGTACTAAACTTAATAATTGATTAACCTCAACCTTTCTAATGATAACTTATACCTCGAAATCGGTAATGTCATCCAAGAGACGTGACTTCCTGGCTAGATATCGGACGGACTTTGGTCTAGATAGTAGCCATTCAAAATCTTCCTTCTTAGCGAGCTCTCCAAGTCCCATAATAGAACATGCTATGGTTGCATACGAACCAACCTCAGCCCCACCAGCTTCTATGTACTCATCAAAGTTAGGAACTTGACCTGCTCTTACCCATTTGATGAGGTCAAGGTTTGTTCTCGCGACTATCTTTAACTGCTTACACCAAAATTTACACAAATTATCACCAGCCAATGAATATGGTGAGTTGGTCATTATGAATAATTGAGGTTTTGCAAGTTATCACCTCTTCTATCATCTTCTCCAACACAAATGATCTTCCTTGTGATTTCAATATTTCTTCACACTCTTTATAAACATACATCACAAATTTGAGGGCAGTCTTCATGTGACCTTGGAGATTTTTCATGTAACCAGTGTCCCATCTGTCCATATAACAATGCAAAATTATTATTGGTTCATAATGCAAAAATATTATTGGTGATGCAACCGCATAAATGTTCTCGAGGTGTATATTTAGAGATACCTTTCCAGACAATCAACAACGCTTTCAACTTCAAGAATTGAACCATAAGTATCGCAAGCATCGTCCAAAAAACAGAGCAATAAGAAAAACTTAGCCGACATAATTCTCCCAAGTGAAAATTGTGGTCCGAAATACATCATTGCTCCCACAAACCAACTCTCGAATGTTCTTTCTCTGAAGCCAGGTGGGAGGTTACCTGTATGGTCTAGTCCCCGCCACCACCTACAAAAATATACAAAATGATTAAATACATTTCCTTACAAAATAGTGATCTTTAGAAGAAAACTAATTCAGTTTACTCACGTGGTGATAGTTTTTAGTTCTTGAATGTAATGAAGCTGCAAGAACTTGAAATTGAGCTTTGCTAGCTTGATTAGTGTTTCATCGTGGTCCTCTTCTTGTTCATAGAACAACAGATACTCTCTTGCAACCAGAACTTGGGTTTTCTGGTGCTGAGGTATGTAAAGAGCATTTTGTATATGCTTCAAAATATGTGGTGGGTTCGCTTTGTGATCTATAGCTAGTGACTCCAAATGGTCCAATGTCAAGCTCAATGCTTCATCCAATATATGATCTGTCGTTGTCCTATAGTGTACTGCTTCGTAGAGGCTTAGTATACCCTTGATATCTTCTAATGAACTCTTTTTGAATTTACCATCGTTTCCTTTGAATCTATCGAAAACATCTGCATGGAAAGAAGTATTTTTTATTTAATATATTACGTACACATCTAAATAAGTCCAAATGCTAAAAAATATTGAAACTCATCTAATAGATTACTTACCAGACGACATATTATGACCATATGTTCTAAAAACCCGAAACATGATGGAGATAGTGTAAATATCACTTTCATCAGCGATCAAATCATCTATCTCCTGGAAAGCATGTTTAAGGGTCTCTTCTATCTCGCTCTCAAAATAAAAAGAGAGACCAAGACTGTCAATAAAATGAATCGAGATAATTTTCCTTTTTATTGCGTCCTTATCTCTGGAAGAAAACATGAATATGTTTTCTCTTACTTTAGGCTTTAGTACTTCAATTTCTCTTGCAAGGGCATCAAAATCCTGAAAATTGACGCAAGTCAAATATATCTATCTATATATGTAGACACCTAACACACACACATAATAATATGCATGTTGTTTTTCATTTTAGATAACTAGGATAATGATAGCTATTATTATATAAATAGACTCACCGAATCAGCGATGAAAACACTGAGGAGCTTATCAGCCCATTGAGAAGGTGGTAATTCTGTAAAATTTAAGGAGCTTTCTAGCTGATCAAGATCTCTTACGGCTTCCATAGAGAGGAAGAGAGGCCAAAGGAGATCTAGAGTGTGAGATGCGGTGGTGGTGGAGAAATCTTGCAAGAAGGTAGACATATATCATGGAGTTAGGAGCCGGCCCAAAATCATATAATGTCTAAGGTATATCTTAAAATGATGTCTTATCAGAATATTTTTTTTTATTTAAAAAAATTGATGTCCTTAAATTAGAATAAATATTTTTTTTGAATAATCGATATTTTCTGCCTAACATTAATTTTTTAAGCCTAAAATCGATTTTTTTAAGTTTGAAATCGATTTTTTTTAAGCCTGAAATCATTTTTAATAATAAATTATTGAATTATAATCAAGTCCAATAATAAGTTTACATTTTCTATGACAATAAAAAGTGGATAATGACTCTTATGTATAATATAACTTTTCTTTTCCATTTTTTTTACTTGGTCGATGTAGGACAAATTCAATACATATTTTTAAAAAAAGCGTGAGTTTTTTTTTCTACCCCAAAAAATATTAATTTTTAAACCGTCATAAGATCCTTGCTTCATGGGTTTTAGTCCAGACGGACAGAGTTGATGGCAAATTTTATATATTTTTAAAGTTGCTTACATATGCAAATTGTTGGATCGTCAATATAAAAAGACACAATTTCTCAGTTTTAAATTTAGAAAATTTTATGTTGTTAAAAGAGTTTTCAGAAGAGTTTTTAAAAGAGTTGAAGTCCTCCCTAACAGTAATTAGGGTTAGGGGATCACAATCGTAACTTGCGTTCTAAAAACGGTTGACTAATTCTAAAAAACAGTTTCACCAATAAAATTTATGTTTTTAACTTTTTTAAACATATACAGTATTAGTTTTTTTCGTAATTAACCTTTTTAAAATATGTACAGAGCAAGATGAGTAAAAGTCCAAATGTCCAACTAGTCTCCGAGAAGAAAATTCTCAATGTCTATCTGAGCAGAAATATATAAAGAAGTTATAAGAATATTAAATTCTGAGTTGTTGAAGAGCTGTTGGTTTAGGTTATGGATCAGTTCGCATTAAATGTGTAATTATCTAGTCACTTGAAACTGTGTTACAACAATCTGATAAGAGCCTGTATATCAGAAGTTTATATGGAGTTTCATGGCACAGTTTTATAAGCAAAAATGATTAAAAAAAGAAAAAAACTTATTTTTGATGAATCCGTCTCTTCCCAAAGAATCTAAAAAGACCGATTCTATTCTACATGGAAGCATATAATTGGCCAAAAATTATGTTTTAATTTTTTCATTTTTTTTAAATCTAAAAAATAATAATATTAAATTTTTATGAATCCCTCTTATAAAATTCTTAGAGGTTCACTGATGTACTTGATCTAAGTGGACTACTTGCACTATGAGAACTTAATCAGATGGAAAAAGTCTAGATCACCCTATAATCACAATTTTTTTTTCTCAATAATAATATAACGTTATCTTATGTTTTTTAACTACAACAACTTTGTTGACAAAAAAAACTACAACAACTTTCTTTTGGTTAGTATATTTAGTAGCTTAGAAAAAAAGTTACCATCTTTTCTTTTTTACATCCTTGTATGATTGTATCATTTGATTTTAGAAAAGCTAATATTTTTCTCTTTGGACACTAGACTTCACTTTTTGGAATAATTTATCGATCTTTGAGTGGGGAAAGATCGTAGTAGTGGTCGTTTAAACTATTGTTGTTTTTTTTCCTTCTTTTTGGTGAATCTTGAGAATTCTATTTGTTATTGAAGAGCATATGAAATCTTTTTGTTTTTCATTTAACAAGTTATTTAGTCTCTTAATTTTAATACATATTTATTTTTAATACATATTTCTTTTTTAGTTTTAGATTTTTACCCAAGTTTTTTTTTTTAAACTTCAACAACAACTCATAATTTAACACTATAACATGTGTAAGTTCTCTACGTACACTACAGCTTAAGCGCTTAAAATAAGTGTTCAGATACATTTGTAGTTCCAAACAGAAGCCTAAAACCTTGTTTTATATCATTTGGAACTAATTTTATTGGATTCCTTTTAGGTTAATATAACCAGTACAAGCAAACATTTTCTCAAACCAAAACCAAACGGGTCTTCAAGCAACCTCTTAACTACATATGTATCGGATCAACAAGCAAAGTGGTGAGATATTCCTTGAGTTTTCCTTCGCGGTGATTGTAGACATCATCAGACGTATATAGAATATTCACCATGCGACCAAAATTGACGACTTGCATAAGAACAGGACGTGAAATGTTGGTTGTCTTTAAGCACTCTTCGTTTACAACCTTTTCGATAACTTCAATCATCTTATGAAATTCTCTAGTGGCTTCTTCTATCGTGACTCCATGTTGTTTCATGTAATAGTTAAGCGCGTTTGCAGTGTACCCTTTATTCATATCCTCCTGGTCATACCATAAGTCAGGTAATAAAACAAAATCATTGATTAACTTCAACCTTTCTATTGATAATAACTTGTACCTCGAAATCGGTAATGTCATCCAACAGACGTGTCTTCCTAGCTAGATATCGGACGGACTTTGGTCTAGATAGTAGCCATTCAAAATCTTCCTTTTTACCGAGCTCTCCAAGTCCCATAATAGAACATGCTATGGTTGCATAAGAACCAGCCTCAGCCCCACCAGCTTCTATGTACTCATCAAAGTTAGGAATTTGACCTGCTCTTGCCCATTTGATAAGGTCAAGGTTTGTTCTCGCGACTATCTTGAACTGCTTACACCAAAATTTACATAACTTTATTACCAGCAAATGAATGTGGATTTGGCCATTATGAATAAGTAAGGCTTTGTAAATCTCACCTCTTCTATCATCTTCTCCAACGCAAAGGACCTTCCTTGTGATTTCAATATTTCTTCATACTCTTTATAAAGATACATCACAAATTTGAAGGCAGTCTTCATGTGACCTTGAAGATTTTCCATGTAATCGGGATCCCATCTGTGCATATGAAAATGCAAAAACATTACTGGCTTTAATGATGCAATCGCATAAATCATGTTCTCAAAATGTATATCTAGAGATACCTTTCCAGACAATCAACAACGCTTTCAACTTCAAGAATTGAACCATAAGTATCACAAGCGTCGTCCACAAAACAGAACATTAAGAAAAACTTAGCCGACATAATTCTCCCAAGTGAAAATTGTGGTTCGAAATACATCATTGCTCCCACAAACCAACTCTCGAATGTTCTTTCTCTGAAGCCAGATGGTAGGTTCTCTGTATGGTCTAGTCCCCTCCACCACCTACAAAAATATACAAAATGATTAAATTCATTTACTTACAAATAGTCCTTAGAAGAAAACTTATTCATTTTACACACGTGGTGATAGTTTTTAGTTCTTGAATGTAAAGAAGCTGCAAGAACTTGAAATTGAGCTTGGCTAGCTTGATTAGTGTGTCATCGTGGTCATCTTCTTGTTCATAGAACGACAGATACTCTCTTGCAACCAGAACTTGGATTTTCTGGTGCTGAGGTATGTAAAGAGCATTTTGTATATGCTTTAAAATATGTGGTGGGTTCGCTTTGTGATCTATAGCTAGTGACTCCAAATGGTCCATTGTAAAGCTCAATGCTTCATCCAATATATCATCTGTCGTTGTCCTGAAGTGTACTGCTTCGTAGAAGCTTAGCATACCCTTGACATCTTCTAATAAACTTTTTTTGAATTTACCATCGTTTCCTTTAAATCTATCGAAAACATCTGCATGGAAAGAAGTATATCTAATGTTTTTTTTTTAAAAGAAGTATGTCTTATTCAAAATATTACGTACACATCTAATTAAGTCCAAATGCTAAAAAAATATTGGAACTCATCAAATAGATTACTTACCAGACGATATATTATGACCATATGTTCTAAAAACCCGAAACATGATGGAGATTGTATACATATCATTTTCATCAGCGATCAAATCATCTATCTTCTGGAAAGCATGTTTGAGGGTCTCTTTTATCTCCCTTTCAAAGTAATAAGAGAGACCAAGACTGTCTATAAAATGAATCGAGATAATATTCCTTTTTATTGCGTCCTTGTCTCTGGAAGAAAACATGAATACGTTTTCTCTTACTTTAGGCTTTAGTACTTCAATTTCTCTTGCAAGGGCATCAAAAACCTGAAAATTAACACAAGTTAAATTCGAGATCTAACATTTTGGGAGTTTGAAACAAAAACAAGAACTAGGGTCACTAATTTGGTTTTATGAAAAAAAAATTTAAATTTTTTTTTTATGGGTTAAACTGAGCTAAAAAAATAATATTTCAATATAGGTTTGGCCCAAATTCAGCTCCGAATCAAATATATCTATGTACGTATACACCTAACAGTAACACACACATAATAATATGCATGTTGTTTTTCTTTTAAGATAACCAGGATGTGATCCAGACTTTGATCGATTGTTAATGATAGCTATTATTATATAAATAGACTCACCGAATCATCGATGGAAACACTGAGGAGCTTATCAGCCCATTGAGAAGGTGGTAATTCTGAAAAATTTAAGGAGCTTTGTAGCTGATCAAGAATATTTCTTACGGCTTCCATAGAGACAGAGAGAGGCCGAAGGAGATCTACAGAGAATGAGATGCGGTGGTGGTGGAGAAATCTTGCAACAATGTCGACATATATATAGGAAGGAATGAGAGTTGATGGCAATTTTATATATTTTATAAAAATTGCATGCTTACATATGCAAATTGTTGGATCGTCAATTATGTATAAATAAACACAATTTCTCAGTTTTAGATTTAGTAAATTTATGTTGTTAAAAGAGTTTTCAGAAGAGTTTCAGTTCCTCCTTAACAGTAATTAGGGTTAGGGGATCACAATCGTAACTTGCGTTCTAAAAACGGTTGACTAATGCCAGAAAACTAACTGGCTTCTGGGCATTATGCTATTCCTCAAATTTTTTACCCTATGGGTGCAGTTTCACTAATAAAATCTATATTTTATCATGTATAATATATAATATCTTAGTTTTTTCCATAATTAACTATTTTAAAATATGTACGAAGCAAATTGAATAAAAGTTCAAATGTCCAACTAGTCTCCGAGAAGAAAATTCTCAATGTCTAGCAGAATATATAAAGAAGTT